TGTGTGGTGTGTAGGTGTGTGCATGTGTGATGTGTAGGTGTGTGCACGTGTGGTGTGTAGGTGTGTGCATGTGTATGTGCGCATGTGTGTCCTGTGTGGTGCGTCGGTGTGTGCATACATGATGTGTCGGTGTGTGCACATGATGTGTGTGCCTGTGTACGTGCACACGTGTGTCATGTGTGGTGTGTGCGTGCATTGTGTGCACGTATGTGTAAGAGTGTGTGTGTGTGTGTGTACACACTTGTATGCCCCTTCACCCGTGGGATGAAGGAACCAGCTAGCACGTTGCGCCCACGGCCGTCGACCAGTAAGTTTGCTCGGCACCATTCCCTCTGTTGCTGCTCACGCACTCCCCACCTCACCCGTGGCCCTGCCTTCCGAGGACAGGGTGGCGGGGCGAAAGCAGCATTGTCTTTAGGGGGTGGCAGCCCTGGGGTCCAGCCCCGGCCCCCCAGCGATCAGGCAACCCGGCCAGACCACAGCCGCACGAGCCCAGGCCCCTCAACGCTGCGACGGGAGAATGGTCGCTCCCACACACACTGTGGGAGAGGCGGCACGTGGGCAGTGGGCCAGCCCCAGGTCTGTGTGCCACCCCGCCCCCGCCCCGGGAGACTGTGGCTCTTAGGCCAGCGCTCCCCGGGCAACAGGGAGCTTCGGGGCCACTCGGGGGCATCTCCCTGCCCCTTTCCCTGTGCCCCCCTCTGCATCTGGCCCGCTGCCCCTAGACCTCCCAGAGGAGTAGCACCATCTGCTGGTCACTTTTAAGTGCCCGGGGGTTGGCGCAGGAAGCCGGGCCTCCTGGGAGGGGGGTGGGGGGCAGGGGTTGCCGCGAGCAGTGCACGGAAGCCAAACAGTCACGCTCCACCGAGGGGACAGTAGCACGTCCTGGCCCGGGGCTGGCGGCCAGCAGCCCGTGCGGCCCTGCGGGAAAGCGGTCTGCTTCCAAACCCTCCCGTCCCTCTGCGAATCTGCCCCTAGAACCCGTCCGGAGCACCCGGCTGGAGGGGGCGGCCAGCTGCAGGTCCTGTGACGTCCCTGCAGCCAGGGGGAGGCGCTGGAGGAGCAGTGCCCCACCGCCCGCACCCCCACACCTACCCAAGCTGTACACCGTGCAGACGTCTGCGCCAGACACCCTCCTCAGTAGCTGCCTGGCGTCCTCCTCCGAAAAGCGTCCTTCATTGCTGAAGAATGACCTTTCTTCTTCATTGAGAAAAATCACATTTTCCAGCCTGGGGAAAAAAAAAAGGTGCTTTATTTAAGACAGCACGTTTCCTAAGTAAGACCCATTTCTACTCTCTCATTTGAGTGACAGGCCCCTCACACCTGCTCTGTGCCCAATGATGAAGACACGGGACAGAAACAAAAAAGATCTGCCCTCAAGGCTGCCTCATCCTGCTGGAGGCAGACGTCCAGGAGCAGGAGAGGTGGCTACGGACCCAGTAGGTCATGGCAGCCAGGGAAGGTGAGCTCCTAGGCAGCCTGCAAAGTCCCACTTCAAATGCCCTTTCCCCTGCAAAGCAGGTGGTGACAGCTACAGGCAGACATCAGTCCCTTCGGTCCTGAGCTCCCACGGCTCCGCGTATGGCCCCTGCAAGTGCTCCCCACAGCGCCCCACACAAACACTGGGTGTGAGTCTGCGCCAGGTCAGGGAGATGGAAAACAGGAAGCAGAGCAGGGAGAGAAGGAACAGGCGATTTGCGCCTGTAGGACTGAGTTAGCAGCATTAATAGGAAACTCTGAAAAGCACTTGGAAACTGGAAGGAGCTATTTGGAGACATTGAAGAAAATCTCAGAGCGACATCTGGAGCATCCGACAGAACAACAGGCCTGTATTCCTCAGGGACACGGCATCCCAAAGGTCAAGGAGATGAAGGAACTGTCTCGGACTCAGGAGGCAAGGCTGGTGACACGTGGTCCGGAACTTTCTCTGGGTTTGGAGGGCATGCCTGGGACACTGGCAAGAGCTCCTCCAACAGCCGTCCCAGCTCAGGCAAGCCCAGCCGCCTGCGCAGAGATGCGGCCTCCCCTGGACGAGACAGGAATTGTCTAGACCGAGGGTCCCCAGACAGCGTTCCACGGAACTCCAGCCGCTGGGGCTGTGAGAGAGGGTCCTGAAGGTGAAGTCAGTGCACAAACACATTCCAACAGGGAAAGGTCAGACTTCGCAGCGCCTTCCTAGTGCGGACCGCCAGCCAGGCACGCGGGGGCGTCCCCACCTCGCGGGAGCTCTGCCAAGTTGGTGACGGAACGCTGGGAGGAACACGCTTTGGGAAACGCCGATCCAGCCGCGGGTCTCAGCTCCAGGCCAGCCAGCTTCGAGCCGCTCCTGACGAGCAGGCGCAACAGACACTTTTAAGTTCGCCAAGCCAAAGCGGCCTTCGAGATTTGGTCTGGGAGGCGCTGGTCTGTGAACGACCCCGGATGTTGAGGCCAGAGGATCCCCTGCAGACGTGTGCGGGAGGCCAGGCCCAGGGGGCCGGGGACAGACCCAGTGAAGGCCTTTCCATACACGCACCTTCTCTGGGCTCCCCGACTGAGGTCTTCACAATGGAAGCTCAAGGCCAGAGGAACAGAAAGGCCCCAGATGATGGGCATAGCTGTGCTCGCGGACCGCTCTCCCAGGACGCCATGCTGCTGCCCGGGGCCACACAGTGGGGACGCTCAGAATTCCCCACATGGGGTGGGCACGTCATCAGCAGGTGTGGGGGGTCCCATAGGGAGAGGAGCACGTCCCCAAGGATGAGCCACTGGAGAGGGGGCTTGGGCTCACTCAGGGGCGCACATGTCCACACAGTCGTTCTCGAAGGCGGACAGACCTGCACAGCTGGACTCAAAGTGCTCTGACAGCAATAGCAGCCTTTGACACGGGTGGTCGCCAGGGTCTGGGTCACGGGGGGCCTTGAAGGACAGGCCCAGGGTCCGCGAAGGGCTTTGTGAAAGGGAGTGGCATAGTGCACAAGGATGAACGGCGTCCCTCAAAATTCATTCACGTCCACCTAGAACCTCAGAAGGTGACCTTATTCAATAAAGGGTTTTTGCAGGTGTAATTAGTTAGGACGAGGTCACACTGGAGTAGGGGGGCCCTGATCCAAAAGCAGGTGTCCTTCTAGTAAGAGGGATGCACAGACCCATGGGGGCGGAAGGGGGGCACATGAGGACAGAGCAGAGATTGGGGTGATGCGGCCCCAAGCCCAGGAACGTTGTAGCCGCCAGGAGCTGGATGAAACTAGTAACGATCCTCCCCTGGCGCCTCCAGGGAAAGCGTGGCTCCGTGACCCCTGATTTGGGACTTGTGGCCTCGAGAACTGGGACAGAATTGCCCTCTGCTGTTCTCAGCCCCTGGCGGGTGGTGCCTTGTCACTAGGCAGCCCCCAGACCACGCTGGAGTTTGGGGAACAGCCCCTGCCCGGCTGCACGTGGTGAAGGACATGGGGGTCCAGACAGGAAGCTGAACCAGCCCCGGGGACAAGGGAACCGGGCCTGGACAGTGGCCAGGGGGAGGGACAGGGAAGGGAGCGCCGTCCAGGACCACATCCAGGTTTGTCACCTGGGCGTCAGCCAAGGGCGAGGGTGGCAGGCTCCCCACAGGGGTGGAAGTGCGGGCTCGGGAGGGGACAGGGCCTCAGCCACTCACTCAGACACTTGGCCCTGCACACTGACGAGACTCGTCTGCACAAACCCGACCTGGCCCGAGGCCGTGTGCCGGCCCAGGCACCAGGGCAGGCCGGGCACCTGGGCGCCCAGGACCTCGATGATGTCGCCGCCTCGGAAGGTCATCTCTTCAGGCCCGGAGCCCTGGTAGTCTGCCACCGCCGTGGCCAGGCCCGTGGCTGCAGGAGGGGGGTCACACGGTCAGCACTGGGGGCAGACTCAGAGGGGCCCTCTGCCGGGAACGAGTGGTCGGGGTTGCAATGAGGCGTGGCCACTGCACCCAAGGGGCTGGGCCTCTAGTGGTTCTTGGAGGGGGCGCTTGATCCCCACACTGAGGAGGAGAAACTGAGGCCCAGGGCTGCCCACCTCCAAGGCCAGGGACTTCTCCTCTGTCCCACACCGGCCAGGCCAGGCTGGGGCCCATCCAGGGCAGATGCAGCTGTAAACATAGGTCCCTCTCCCATGGGGCCTTACGTTCACTGAGCAGGTACACAAGGCCATCCTTGCACCAGCCGGCTTGGAGCAGGGCAGGGAGTACTGGACCAGGAGCCCAAGCCGAAGGCCCACGCTGTCTTTTCAAGAGAAGCCCTAAGAACTAAGCCTCAAGAGCCTCCATTAGTGCAAATTCAGCCGGAGCCTAGCCCACCCATGCAAGGGCCCTCCGGCATGTTGAATGTGCAAGCCAGAGAGAAAGCCATGCCTGATGGATGGCCTGTGAGGTGACACTCGGGCTTTCCTGGAGACAGTGACAGGGACCCGGCCCGGCCTTGCCGTACCGTGTGAAATGAATCTGGACCAGCCTGTGGGACCTCTCTGAGCCTGAGTTGTCACAACATGAACTGGAGAGGATTCTAGTTACCTCCTCCGGCTTGGGGAGGATTCATGGTAAGCACAGAAGCTTCCAGAATGCTGGTGCCTGCCCCACTTTGCCCATCCCTTTCCCAGGGGAGGAAGGCCAGTGGAAGCATTTACCCATCAGTGGGATGTCCGATGTCACAGGTCCATTCATGGAGTCGTCGATGGGGTCCCAGGGGACCCTAAGAGCCCATCTGGAGTGGGACGAGAGAGGATTTCAGGTGTGTGGCAAGTTCAAACTGAGTCAACTGGGCAAGTCAGCAGCCCCCAGGGACCTAAGAGAACTCCACCACTTGCTCGACTACACACACACACACACACACACACACACACATGTGTGGCCTTTAGGCCCAGGTGTGTGGCACGGCCTGCAGGGAGCCCCGTGCTGCCCAGCCCAGGTGCCTCCTGCCCTGCCTCAGGCTGGCATTCTGGGAGACCTCCCTCCATTCACCCAGGACAGAAGCTGAGCCACTGCCTGTTAGTTCACAGCTTCTGAACATCAGGTCATCGAGTTTCTCTCTTCGCTTTGGCTGCCAGGAAGCTCCAAGCCCAGTTAACGCCCCACATTCAGCACGTGAGCAGGAACTTAACATGCGACCCATCCTCGCCCTCCCCAGGCTTTATCTGCCTTGTGCCTCCTTACTATGGGTACACATTTGGCAGCTAGCTCCCTCAAAAGCTTTCCAGAACAAGCCAGAGTAGGGGCGCCTGGGGGGCTCGGAAGGGTTAAGCGTCAGACTCTTGATCTCAGCTCAGGGCTTGATCTCAGGGTCGTGAGTTCAAGCCCCGTGTGTGGCTCCACGCTGGGCATGGAGCCGACTACTTAAAAAAATAACAACAACGAGCTAGAACATGAAGCAAGAGTTCTGGGCTGCACCCTCCTGCCCGGGCAGCCCCACTGGGGAATGTCAGCGTCCTCATGCAGGTGGCAGCCCACGGCCACACACCGGAAGCAGTGGAAGAGGGACCCGCGAGGGTCTGTTGGGGGCCCCCGTCCACCTCCTCTGCCCTGCGGATGGGCCGGGGCCTGGGGGCTTCTCCATGAGGCCCGACAACGCGCGGGACGGGCTGGAAGCACAGAAACAAAGTTCGGTACCTACTGATGAAATGGAATCAAAGTTTCTGGAGTGGCCGCTGCTGCCACCTCCTCGGAGGACGTGCCGGGGCTGGGAGCGCAAGGGTCCACTGCCGGGGCTGCCTCTCCCTGGGGAACCCCCGAGGCTCGCCTGAGGGCCCGGGGGCCGCTCCCTGCACCCCGGGGGCTGGTCTTCACTCGCACACGGTGGTCAGGACACAGGACGAAGACAGGACCTTCAAAGTGACAGACGGTGTCCTTCAGGGTGGCTGGACGCCCTGCCAGGTGGGACCCACCTGTCCTGCCAGGTGACATGTGTGAAGGGAGCCCTGCAGTGTCTCCCCGGCCCCAGGCTCTGCTCAGACCTCACCCAGCCTCAGACCCTCAGGGCCTCAGTTTCCCTGAGGGGCCCGACCCGTGATCCCAGGGGGCCTGTCTGCTGGGAGCACCCCTGGGAGCCCGGCCCCCTCTCTTCTTCTCTGAGGCCAGGGTAAGACCGGCAGCTTTGGGTTCCGTTTGCTGCTGGCTTGCACCCCATCATGAGGCCACCACGGCACTCAAAGCAGTATTGGGTCAGGACCTTGGGGTGGGAGTGCTGCTTGCAGAAACACTTTCCCTATTATTTTGGGGGGGCCTGACCAGGTCTTTACGGCAAAGTGACAGGGCCCGGGCATTTCACGGCCAGGGTCCCCCCATGTACCCCTGCGTGAGGCCCCGTCAAGTCTCCGCGTGCACGCCAGAGCCTCCAGGCCCTCCTCCCCCGGGCGTCCCAAGCACAGTGCGGGGCCGGCCCTTGTCACCGTCACCACGTGGTGCTCACCTTCCTGGGCGAGGAGGCTCTCGTGCGTCAGCCTCAAGGCCTCCTGGTCCACATGGACTTGGACAGCTGTCTCCTCGTCCTCGTTGGGTGAGAGCAGCCAGAAGGCCTGGTCCACGAGTAGGTTTTCCAGGCAGTGATGAGTGAAGCCTGGGGGCCAGACAGGCTGGGTCACCAGCGGGCTCCAAAGGGAGGAAGGGAAGCCTTCAGGGCCCCGGTGCTGGGGGATCCCCGTCCTGCTTCAGGGACTTGCGGCACCATCTACAACCCAGACAGGCCCCAGGTCTGACCATCTGGGCTGAGAGTGGACCGGCCATGACTGTGGGTGACACCCTGGACTTCCCTGTGCCCTGGCGAGTTTAGACGAGGACAAGTCACTCGAGTGATCCTCAGTCTCCTCATCCGTGAGACGGGACCAGAGCCTTCAGGGAGAGCGCGTGCACTCGGGAGTTGGCACAAGATGCTGTCACTCTTATTTTCCACGCTCTCAGGCTCAGACCAAGGTGGCGGAGCACGGTTCCCCAGAGACGCAGCCGGGCCCACAGACGCCTCCGAACGGATGAGGGTCCTTTACAAAGCAAGCTCTCTGTCCGGGCTGGAAATAACCCGGTCTGTGCTCAGCGGGTCTGAGCTCAGCCTCCCTCGGGGTCTGGCCGCACAAAGCTCCGCACACAGCGCAGTGCGGGGAGGGACGCCTCTGCGCCCCGCCTGTCACGCCATCTCTCCCCAAGAGCGGGTGAGCACTAACTCCCGCGGCCCGCTGCCCCAGCCCTTGTGAGCGGCACTGGGCTGAAGCCCGATTTATGACATCAAGTGCTCGGCAGTGTGTGACAAGTGTCCTCTAAGGGGAGTCCCCACAGCCAGCTCTGGGAGGGATCCCCACTTTACCAAGAGCGTGGTAGGTGGAGAACTTCCAGATTTCCTCGAAAGTCTTAAAGGTCACCACGATCCGATCCTGGTCACTGTGGATAGACAGCAGCCTGGCCGACAGCTCCTATGGGGAAGGAACAGTCCCAGGCGGGGGGCTTTCAGGCATCTGACCGCCAGGAGGACAGAGCCGCACAACAGAAGCGTTTTGCTCAAGTGACCCAGGCAGGTGGGGAAGCACAGAGCCGGTTCCTCTACGGCCCGAGGCTGGGGCTCTCAAGCCAGCCGTGGCTCCCCAGTACCTGTGCCAAGCCCTGCTCCTTCCCAGAGCCCCTGCGGGCTCCGTGCTCCGGTCCCCGCCCTCCGCGACAGCAGGTTCTCCCCGCAGGCTGGGCTCTCAGCCCTGTGCATCCCAGCCTTGCCTCCCAGCCCTTCCCGCAGCACCGACGGGGGGATGCGTCCTCACTCCGGCACCCCCTCTCCTCTGACTCCCATCCCATGAACGCCCCGGGTGGTGACCGGGCAGGAGCGTCACCCCAGCACTTATAAGGCACAGGGTGTGTGTGCTGGGGAAGGGGGTGCTGCTCTGCGCTCCGCTTGACAGACTGAAAACAGGCCGCTTTTCTTGTCCAAGGTCTGACCCTCAGCACATGGCACGCCGGGGTCCAGCCCCTTGCCCGACACCACGCAGGGCTGGTACTCCCGTGCCGTTTGCAGGATCCGCACCTCGGCTCCGTGGGGTAACAAGTAAGCATCCCTGACAGGTGGCCGAGGGAGCTGGGTTCACAGAGGCCAAGGTCAGGCGGGCTGGCTGCAAGGTCACCTGGTGGCTGCCTAGCCCTAAGCCCCAGGACCTCTGTCATGGAGAGGTCGCCCTGCCCAGCCCACTCCTCGGCCACCGTCCTGCCAGAGCGTCCACTGTGCAGAGGCCAACAGGGGCCTGGCTCCATCATCAGAGTAAGATCAGCACACACCAGTCCTTCTTGCTCCCCATGACAGGGACTTTAAGAGTATCAGCAGGGTGGGGGGCACAGAGAGTGGGAGGGGACCTGGGAGCACCGTGGGCCACGTGTGGCTAGAACTGCAGGTGTGATCGGTGGCCCCCTGACCCAGACATCCAGGAGAACAGCCAGGGACAAGTCACGGTGTCACCACCTGTGGCCTTGGCCCCTCAGGGACAGAGGCCTGGGCATCAAAGGCCCTCCTGCTAGGTCTACCCCTGTCCCCTGTCCGTTCTCAGGCTTGGAGCCCCTGTGCCTCCCCGGGCCCCCCGGAGAAGCCAGCCTCACCCCCAGCGCACGGGCCACCTCCCGGCTGTCATTTTCCAACAGGCGGAGCCGGCTCCTCACGGTCTGCTGCAGGCTGGGGTCCGGCAGCCCCGTCTTCTTCCGCACGGCCAGCAGCTGCAAGGTCAGGTCTGGGAGGGGCAGCGGGAGCCAGCACTCAGCGAAGTCACCAGAGTCACTGTGACCTCCGGCCCCGACCTCTCCCACCGCTCCAGACAGGGGCATTCAAGCTCCAGCAAATCACCCACAGGTGTCCCAGGACTTACCATCCTCTCTCCTAAACTGACCCCTCCCCCTCCCCCTCGTTCCCATTTCCAAAAGGGTTCCCAGCCCCCACCCAGCTTAGACCAAGGACACTTCCCTGCACCACACAGCACCCGGGTCCACCGGTGAACTGCAAAACCAGGCCGAACCCTCCGTGGCCCCCTTCCCCGTGGCCCGGGTCCCCTAGGTCTGCCCTGGGCGGTTGTCCAGGCCCCACCCGCCAACTCCACGCAGTCCTCCGGTCCTCAGAGAGCCAGAGGTCTCCTTACAGTGAGCTGCACGCCCCCACTCTCAACCCTCCCAGGCCGCCTCCAGCCATGTGGAGCCTTTGAGTTCTGGAAATACGGCCCGTGCAACTGTGGCAACCAGATTTTTCATTTTAATTCAGTTAAACAGAAACAAAAATCGTGTGGCTCCTATACTGGATAGGATGGCTGCAGGCTTTTCCTTCTCAGGGAGACTGAGACACAAGCCCTTTCCACCTTCCCACCAGCACAGCCTCAAGCCTCTGGCTCTGCTCCCCCCATCACCTCTTCTCTCCCTCCCCTCTAGCCTGGGGCCTCTCTGCTGCCCTAGGAGATCAAAGCACCCCCACACATCCTGCCCCAGGGCCTTTGCACTCACTACATCCTCCACCTGGAGCAGTCTCTCCCAGACCAAATCCTGGCCTGACAGGCTGCCCTAAAATTCACATCTCTGCTCAAATGCCCCCGCCTGCCCCCACCCCTGCCCCCTGAAGAGGCCTCCCAACTGTGCTGAGAGCCCCAAAGCATGAGCTGCTCTGAAGGGGTGGAGGGGGCATGGGAGAAGGGGGGAGGAAGCAGGAGGAGAGAGAGGGGG